ATATGCTGACTCTGTAAACCGCTTAGAGAGGGCTGAAAGCCCTATGAAGCGGTATATGTCTAACTGCTATTGCTATCATCCGCCATCATTGCCAGCAGCACCATACCAAGCACCTTATCTCGTTTTCTCTTTATCTCTGTTGCATTTTTATAGTCGGAAATCACATCTTATAAATATTCTTACAGGAAAAGAAAAGGCCTGTAGCTATCTTGTCTTCTTCTGAATATGGGCGGCATATCAACAAACCCGTGGAACAGCTAATCCGAGACTACGTCCGCATTAATCACGTAAAGGCTGAGTTCTACAGAAAAAATGGAATAGCTTGCTTGGTAGAAAAATGAATCCAACTTAAGAGTCTACTGTGATAGATACCTAACAGCAAGATGATATCAAATTCCCGTAGTGTCCTGCTTGGATTTACAGTTCAAATGTAACATTACAATATCTTCATATATTTATTGCTGGGGTTTTAGCTAAAATCAGCATCTTTAAGGACCTTATTTAGGTCCTTAAAGCATGATATTTGTGCGACCGCCAGTTAATACCTCCCCATTTTTTTTCCCCTCCTGGAAAAATTGTGAAGATTTCACCAAAAAAAGTGGATTGACACTCTTAACACACTAGAATAGCCATGTATTAATTTGAAAATAATCACCTCTGTCATTTCTTATCTATGATTTATAGGATAGTTTTCGTTCTTTTAGTATTATCAAAACTAAAGGACTTGGTAGCATGTATTGTTGCTTAATATGCTTTTCCTTCCAATTTCCTCTCTTCGTTAATGTTTTATAAGTGTGTTTGGAATGCTTAACTAAGGAGATCACCATTTAAAGGAAAAAAATATTGAGAAAAATATCTATCAACCTGCTTATATATCAAGAATGCACATGTGTTTATATATAAGCTGCGCATTAGCAATAAAGATCAGCTGATAAGATGGGCAGCTTCATGACAATGAATTCTCAATGCTGAGCACAAACATTAAAGCTTGACATTAATCTCATCTCTTGAAGTTGAATAGTTTTGTTTTTTGATTGCTGTTTTAGTGGGATTTTTTTGTCTGGATACTAGGGATTATGAGTTGATGTAAACCACATTTAATATGCATTTCCTATCAGCCCAGAAGGGTAGCTTCTTCACAGAACAGCATTTAGGAGAAGGGGAAAGTGCCAATTTTAATCAGGAAAACAGAAGAGGAAAAATAAACGTGAAGTGATTGGTCCCTATAAAAACCTTTCTTGTGGTAGAATCTTGTTTTTACTTAATGGTAAGCCGCCTAGAGTCACCTTTTGGTGAAATGGGAAGCATATAAATTTATTAAATAACAATACTTAACAATATACAATGTATGCAACATATATGCATACATACATAAAATATACATACAAATATGCATATACACATAAATTATATACATACCTAAAACATAAGTGCACTCAAGTTATATATTTAAGGTTTAAGGTTTATTACACTTGTATGCCACCCTATTCCCGGAGGGCAGCTAACAAACCAAAAGGGAAGGGAATAATACAGAAAAAAGCAAAAGGCAAGCAAACAAAATACGGAAACAATTTAAAAACAGTCAACAGCCACACAGTTCGAGTGGGGATGGGAACTCATCAGCCCCAGGCCTGTCGGAACAGCCAGGTCTTGACGACTTTGCTGAAAGCCTGAAGGGTGGTGAGGGTCCGAATCTCCACGGGGAGGTTGTTCCAGAGGGCCGGAGC